TATACGACTTACGTTTCTCTCTGCCTTGCCCTACGTCTACGACTGAGACAGTCTTAAGCGTTTACGGATTGTTCTCTGCCATCAGCCTAAGTCTAAGAGCTGAAGTAGGAGTAAGAAATAAAATGGATTTATTTCCTTACTCCTACTCCAGCTTACTCCATGTATTGTAGACCAGTCTTTACATTTTCATCTCACGCAACTTTGTTCGTCGAATTACGGTTGTGTCGAGCGAAACCGCGAGATCACTCGGCATTTCCGCGATAGTGATCTCATATCTTCACACTTTCACGCCGAAAAAAAAAGTACCGAGAGGAAACGGGAACACACCCTCAATCTGTATCGAAGGCAAAATAACAAACAGAGCTCTTGAGCTCGTTATTTGAAAGAGAAATTTAAAGGAAGAGGTCGTGGCTCGTGGGACAACGAAGGAGCGAGATAAACATTTCAACACACATATCGTGTATCGTCCCAATTATTATCGTCCAGTTACAAGCTTTGTACAACGCTGAGCTTCGCCGAGCTCACATTAATTTTACATGACTTGAATTCCCTTTATTACTCATCGCGGCTGAAGAAGGTCCACGAGCAGAGAAGCTTGAAACGTTCCGCAAAATCCCATTCTGATTGAACAACAATTCGAATTATATATGTAGATTAAAGTCTTCATTGCGATCTTTCCAAGAGTCCGTGGGAGAGCTATTTCAAACAACAGCTGATTGAAGAACGTCGTCGACACAAGGAGACAATTCGGTGAAAGTAAAGGTGTCTTTTACCTCGCCAATCTGTCGTACATTTGTGTATTCGCTACGCAGAGAGATACAAAGTATCACCTCGCGTTGTAAATATTTCAACTTTTACACGATACAGTGACACGCGAACGTTATCGAATGAACACTACAGAGAGAAATTCAATTCTAAAGAGAAATTCGAATCGAAGTAAAAAAGTTATCCACGAATAAATCTGCGTTCCTCGCGCGCGTTAAAGAAATGCTCCCGCGTGGCGGGAAGCAAAACTTATTCTTGTTTCAAGGCACTTCTGGAGACACGGAGTTTATTTATAGGAATACGTTCTCCGGTCTGACTGTCAGTCGTGTAAACGAAGAAGGAAGCGCGAAGGAGGATGTAAAGAGAACACGCGGACCGATAAGAGCGGGCTGCTGTGCGTCGACCGCCGTCGCTTCCCGAAAGCGTATTATTAATTCCACGCAAATATGAGAAAGAGTATCGTCGCGAGCGCACATTCATTCCCTAACTAGGGTTTAGGACTCTCCAATAATGAAAAACAAGGGAAAACCTGAGGTATGTGAGAGTCAAAAATATAATATGCAAGTTTTTTCACATACATCTCCCCCGCCATGCTTTTCTTATCGTCGGAATAATTCGTTCTTAAGCAAGTAAATGCGCAAAGGAAGACAACTGGAAACAGCGCTGAGAAATGAGAAAACGTTTGATTATTTATTAACAGTACCTTTTGTCGGGAAGTCCGAATCGGCGAGAGAGAAGAATTGTGGAGAGACGCGGTTATTTCTTTCACCACGATCCTCGTGGCTTCGCGAACGGGTCCTCTCGGGCTCGACATCCTCAAACTCCCTTTGATGCGCCAAATATTTGAGATCTGCCGAATATCACATAGGTGTCATTTTTATTTAAATCAAAATTAAAAGTCAACGAAAAGATATTAGAAACGGTCAGAATATTTCACAAAGTTTTGTTCCAACGGTAAATACGTTATATAATAAATGAAAGAATATACATACATATCTTTCTATTGGCTTTACTTTTCAAGTGTCGACTATCTCTTCTGTTAAGAAAAAAATCTCATCTTTTTCAGAATCTTGAAATAAGCAAACGCGACGAATTCGCGAGTGACGAGACGACCATCGCTTGGATCGCTAAGGGAGCTTTTACAAGAACTTTTACAATGATGATGAAGACAAATCAGGAAGTTTCTAGGGGGTCAATTCTGTATCTTGCAATGCAGTGAAAACCGGTGGGTAAACCGCAGAAGGCATTGTGGTGTGCAGATTTACATCACTATCCAGCAAACATAGAACATTGCGGCATTTTTCGGTATTAAGCAGCAATGTGCTTTCTGCATCTAGAAGAATTCCATTTTATGTAAACAAATCGAAACGCTTAACAAACTTGTCGACAATTTACGATTGTACAATGCACAATTGATCAACTTGCCCAAATGTTGTAGACATATTTATTGACTAGGAAATAGAATGTTTCTGGACGCAAAGGACAAGTTGTAGATTAACCTTTGAGCTTCGCTGGGGCATTAGAAAGCTAAAACAACATGACAAGATAAAGTAATGCTGGTTATTAGTAGGCAAGTAAATGATTTTGGTCAGTGGTTTACTCCTCGGCGAGATGCTAAAAGGCTTTGTCTCTTTCGAAGGGGACGACTGGGAATTATTCACTTTCAATATTTCCACTGCAGTATTGTAAGACACAGAATTGACACCTAGAGCGACGAAATAACCCAGCGAGAAATGACTCGTCGGTCGATGCCAAATCGACATAGACGAATCGTGCCTCACTGGGAAGCGTGTCTCAGTGTCGAGGAGGCTCGTATTGAACGGTGGTGTTGCGCAAAACACACATAGCGAGCATGTTTATATTTCAACCACCCTCGTAAATTTCGACGCTAGAATCGAGAGCCTTGTCCCTTCTCGGTCCGGTCCGGTCTTTCGACGCCTCGGCGAAAGGTGCCTGTACTTACGGAGATCGAGGCACGCTCGGGGAACGGCGAAGCAGCCTCGCGACACTTTCCCTCCCTAGACTTATCCGCGAGAACAAAGGAAGTTGGCGCGTGTTTACACTCGCACACCTCCGGTCACTGGGAGGAAGGGAACGGCACTTGCAACACTGGCATCGGAATCCGGCGAACGCCTTCGGCCGACGCGGATTCCTAGCGCACGTAACGCACACACAAGCTCGGCGCACCACCAACCGCACCGGTCCGCACTGTCCGCAGCCGAGCGAGCGAATTCGCTGCGCGTTCGTTTGGCTAACGGCCGCGAGCCGTTTGATAAACTTGAATGCGAACGCGGCGACGAATCAGGAGGCGCCGTTGCGTTCGGTCGGCCGACACCGCGGCGCCACTCGGCACTTCCTGTCGCGGTCGGTAAGACAGGACTATCGAACGCGCCGCGATATTAATCGATATTAATCGCCGTTCAATTTGAAACGACGAGCCGTTCCCGCCTGTTTCTTGCCGCGCTCATGTCCCCCCTTGGATTCGTTAGCGTCTAAAACCTGATCGGCGAGAAGGAGGCCCGGAGAAATAAGTTGCTCCGACAAGGACATAAGTTTGCAAAATATTTATTGTCAAACTCATCATACAAATACATATAAACCGCCACGTTACTATATGCCAGGCAGCGCAAATTCACCACAAAATTTTAATGCTAATTTAAAGATTATTAGTCTTTGTTTTATATTCTAATTAACCGTCATACTCAATCCTTTCATTCATCCCTCACCATTCGCTCTCAATTTAAGGATATAGATTTTGTTTCCGGTAGAATTTCTTAATATACATAATAAAAATGCATTCATCCAGCCAGGTAACGCACTGCTGCAATACAACGTATTACAATAAAGCGAGTTCTATAAAAGAATACTATTCACAATGCTCTCTTTCAAAAAACCAGATAGAAATAATTATTTAAGGACACTTGCGTGCACTAAGTGTTTCTCTTACGTTTGCAAAGTTTATAAAATAGTAAAATTAAGTTGAGCCTAATCCGTAAATGCGCGACAGGTGTGAAACTTCACTGCACTTCATTGTATTTTATCATCACAGAAAGCAGTTATGTGTGATTGCCACTTGAAATCATCAACTTTCTGAACAGGCATTTGTGAACCATGCAAAGGCACTTTCTCCGAGTGTCTCTAATAAAATAAGTGATGCTGAATTCGTTGTGCTATTATTATTGGAAAAACGCTTGATATCTTGTACCGAGTCCTATTGTTATTACAATGCAAGTACAATCGTTCGGTACGAAGGATGAGGTTAATAAGCATTGTATTATTTACAATAACGTGTCACAACGTTCAATGTCATCAGCACTGATGTCTGCGTGTGTGTCCTCCCCCCTTCGAAATATTTCTTCTACGTGTGCTGTGTGAATTGTTGTGCTGTAATTCACGGCTATACAGTAAATGTAACAATTTACCATATTTACTATATACCAAGTATTTACCGTGTACAAAGTGCTCGCAAATTTTTAGTTATGTATAGGGGTGTAACTGCGGTGTAGGGCATGTTGAAAGTGGAGAGTTCTTTTGATTGCTAGACGGCGGAGTTAAAAGGCCACTCTCGTTTGGGCTTTGCCTACCGGACTCAACATTCGCGTCGCAATCGTTGACATAGCCGCTCGGGATTTCTCCGGCCAGCCGTTGCTGCGCCTTTTCCAACATATTCAAATCGACCACGTGAGTCTGTATGCGATGCGACTCGTCCACGACGATATTAGGTACAGTGGCCTTCAGTCCGGATCCCGAGTGCGATTCTACAGGCGTAATCGTGGATCGTAAAAGAGACTGGGAGTCCTCTTCCGCGACGGTTGTTGCGAACGCTGTGAGCCACTTGACGCAGGGCGCGAGCTGTTCCCACGACAATCGGGACACCCTTAACGCGCATTCTCTACCTTGGGTGTGGTAAATCGCTGCCGCAGCTATATGACTGTACGGGAACTTTAAACAACCCTCGTCCAAAGTCGCCAGATCTAGTAGTTGAGCCGCTTGAGAATATTGTAATCCGCCGTACTGTGGATATATGAAAGTGTTTGGTTTGGACGAATCGCCCGACTCGATCTGCATGTAGATATTGAGCCACCCTGGAGCGGTTATCGGGGACAGATTCCACCCGAGACCTTTCAAGATCATCAGCTCCTTCCCCAAAATTTCTTCTTCCGTACAGGCCCCATCGGTGACGTATGCAAACTCGGCAATTTTCGGCGGATATATCTCTTCGACCTGCAAATTATTTTACCTTTAATTTTGGAGAAATAAGATCAACTTGCTAATTTACTTTCTTGCCCAACTTGATGTACGTAATTGAAGATGGAAAAATGGGGGGAAAAAAAAGTACAAACCTTCGAAGCGATAAAAAGACAAGTTATCCCTATCAGTTGCAACTGATTCTTAGGTACGTCATGATGAATGGACAGATATCTGTCTATGTAATCCATGGCAAGGTAGTAAGTTTCCCTATGCAATTTGTACACCTCGCAGACCTCGATCAGCCAATCTAACAAGATTGCTCTCATCCGTGGCTGCAACGTGGGATGTCTTTGAAACATTTCTGGATCCCTTTGAATCAGAGTCTTCTGATCCCCGAGGCACATGACGGACCACACTTGGGAGCCATCGGCCCATGGCAGAGACGGCAATGGACTAGGTCTAACGGACGTGCTATTGGAGGCTGAAGGGGTTAAGAAACAAGTCGCGGTTCTTAATTCTGACCACGTAGCCGGTTCCTGCTGCTCCTTCAACGGGGACGTCTGATGCTGGGGAGTACACGCGGCGTCCACAGAGTGCGCGGTGTGACAAGATTCCGTGTAAGAGACGTGAGACAGCGCGGGTACTTTGCTAGGTGGATATATGTTTTCCGAATCCTCCGAAAGTTCCGTCGTGCGTCTCTTACGCTTCAAGGACTGCGCCTTGCCCCCTTGCAGGTAAGTCTGCGACTTCTTCTCCTGTAAACTAAAGGTAAAAGAACGTGCTGTACAGTCTTGTGTAGGGCGGAACACGCCTCGTAATTGCAACTGATAAGGAAAAGTTGGATAGCGGTGGAAAAATTTCTGGAGCTAACGCTCGTCAATTTACAGATTTCCAACGCGAGTTACGCTGTCGGGAGAGCCGAGAGACGGGAAACTGTCGCGTCACCGAAGGAAAGCTGCTAAAGGAGAGCGACCGGGGGGGAACAAGGTTATAGGTGCGAGGTTCGGGCGCGAGTGGGAAAAATGTATTTTTAATCGAGCAACGGATAGACGTCGAATCGATTTCGTCGCGGGCTAAATGGACGGGAGGGCCGGAAAGGGAGTTACACGGGGATTTTGTGGGCAAACGGAACGTCGTGCACTCACCTGTTCTGCGGCATCTTGTCGCGGGATTGCCAACGCGTACGGGAAATATTCGCGGTCGGAATAAATTTTCCGCGAGTACGCGCGACGACGGGGACCCTTGGAGCGAGGACCCGCACGATTTTGACGATCCGGCCGCGCGGATTTCCCCGGGAAAGGCAGGAGAAGCGGAGGAGCGCGCGAAGCCTAAGCGCGCCCGATCGCCATCATGCACGTTCCCTCGGCCGCCTTCGATTCGACGTGTCGACTCACGATTTTCGTCGGGCGTTGAATTTCGCTGGTCGGAAAATTCATCCCTCCGCCCCGCGGGCGACTTTGCGGCGCGCGCGGGCCGCGAATCGGCGACAATCCGCGGAAAATCGAGGACGTGGATCTGGAAGCGCGGGAGAGCAGCGCGCGAAACGACGACCAACCCCTGTGCGCTCTGTAACGCCCTCTATATGCGGCACATAACCTCAAACGGGGGGCAGATTTGGGGGGTTTTCCGCGGTACGTCGGGCGCGCGACGCCGCCCGGACACCTCGCCTCCTGGTTACCCGCCCTTCCGCGCGCCGATCTTGATTTCTCCGTCCGGCGAAGAGGCGACTCCGAGACGTGCGTCCGGCCGCGTCCGAGGAACCGCCTCGGCCGGCTCGCCCGGGCCAGTCGCTCGCAGTTGTCGTCCAGAGTACGGCGCCCGGGGCGTAGGGCCGTGTCCCGGTGCTCCGGGACGAAGCGCGTCAAGTCGGGTGGCGCGCGCGCAACGACCGGGAGGCCCGAGGTCCCGCCGTGCTACCGCGCGTCGCGCACGCCCGCTTCCCGCTCGTTTCGCGTCGTCGCGCTCACCTCGCGGTTGTCACCGCGGCCTCGACGTCAGGACGGAGGACGCGCGGCACCTTCGCGGACGCGTTGACGCGGCTACGCGCTCGCGGAAGCTCGCGGAACCCGGGAGACTCGCACACCTAGCGCGGACGCCTTCCACCGCGGAGCGAACTGGCGGCTGCAAACTGGCGTTTCGCGGGAACGCCGATGCGATGGGCGCCACGCCGCGCTGCCGTCCTCCGCGCCGATTGGTCGGGGCGCGCGGCACAGCTGGCGCTCAGCTGATCCGTCGTATACACACGCAGGCACGGAGCCGCGCACACTACTGCGCGCCGGTGCACACGGTTGCACCGAGGGCCCGCGCGGGCCGTCGACCACGACCAACCACGCGGGAAATGTGCGCGCGTAAATCGCCGCTCGCCTTGGTTCGGGCGGGCTTTTCCTACTTCCTACTTGCCACGTATCCACCGCGCCATTACCTGCCTGCGCGCCGAGCTCTGAGCTCCCCGACTCCTTTTCCGCAGACGAATCGCGAGGCGAGGCGAGTTTTCGCCGGATTCTTCGCCCTTTACATCCGAGCGGTGTAAAAAGCTCAAGCTGGAGTTTCTCGACAGACGTCGACGTAGATGTAGGCGAATGCCCGAGTATAATGGGGCTGCTCCGAATTTCAAAGTCACATTTTTTCCTTGGTAATTTTTTTATTTTGCCTGATTGAGAGATCGCCAGGTGCGTGAATTGAAAGAAATAAACAGAACTTTGCATTGGTGGAATATGTTGAGGAAAAAAGTCCAAATCTACAACGCGAAGGTATAAAGTTTCCTCCATGTATCATTGCCACCTATTCGGGTCAAGATTGGCAAAATTAACTGAAGCTGCTTTCCCTTTAAGAGACACGAGTTAACGCACTCGAGCACAGCTTGTCACCGCGAAATGGCAAAGATTTTAAGAAAAGGTTTCGCCGAATAAAGTATTTCCATTGAAATACTCGGATGCGGATGCGTTCTTCCCCCAGAATCGACATCGTCTCGACGAATACATTTCTCCCTGGGTCGATCAGAAACACACACTCCGACTCTCCTCCCGAGCAGAGTCGAAGATTGAGTTTGGATTAAATTCTAAATGGAAAGCGACACGTGTGTCGATTTGCGTGAAAAATGTCGACTGTGTTCCCTGAAAGGAAAGCAGTCGAAATTCCTTCGGACGAGACTGTACATTTTCGAATGCGGCGCGCTGCGGCAGGTGCTGTTTTACCTACGCGTGCATTGGAGTTTCGGAAAGCGATCACGACGCGGCGCTCCGGTCGTCGGGCCTTCTCGCG